CCCGGGTCGACCAACGGATTAGTCAGGGCATAGCTCCGTATACCATGGCTGGCTAACCCAAAAAATAAAAAAATGATCAAATTCATAAGCTAACCACATCTCATGTGCTATACAATCTCTTATAAACTCGCCACGAGTAACCTCTTTGTTATCATACCTAATAACATAACTATCCTCTTCAATTAGATCTTGTCTTGCATGATCATCATCTACCTCAGCAACAAGTTCTTCACCAGGGTCCACACTCATTATATAATTATGAAGAATGCAACACACAATAATAATGAGTTTTTTCTCATTCACTCTAAAATTAGGTTTTGCGCTTGAAGATAATATTTTTCGAAACGCTTTTTCGGTTCAACAAAGGCTCTTTTAATTGTATTATGTAAGGATGCATGACAAAGATTGAACAATTCTTTATTCTTGGTGGATTTTTTGCCGAGTATGCTTTCGAATGATAACGAACTCCTCTATAAGGTGTAACTAATCCAATCGCTAACATGAACCCAACATCCAAAAGATAATATTTTCCTATAATTACAACAAAATATTATAATTTTAAGATGAAAAATTACTCTGTCATAATAGATAGAGTTACATGAAATACATTTTGAGATTACAACTCCAATCACCTTCATGGATTTTTAGCATATCTTCTATCCATAATGTATTTTTGATAATTTGAATTGGAGACAACATCCAGAAAACACATATATGAATCTTAAATCGAATGTACAAGCAGCTAACATATGTTGTGTTGAAAATTCATTACTTCTACGATAACGACGAACATTTATTTGTGATACCTTTGCACATTTATGAGTTCCATCAATAGCACCAAAACAATCCTGATATTTTATATAATTATTAATCACTAAAGAAAAAAAATAAGTATATTAAATTTATTCATTAATGATAAATATTACCATAAAATAAGGGTAGAACCTACTACTGTTAGAAATTTCGATTGGCGCGGTTGAACCATCAGGTTCTACAAGTAGTTTATCTTCACACTCAATTATAGCCCTCAATACTTGTTGGAAATCTCGACTAACCATTTCATCCGAACGTTGAAACCAAAAGTTCACCTCACAATTTTTTGTTTTGTGCATTGATATATATAATGTTTTGGCAACTTTTTCTTCCACGATCGACCATTGTATAAGTTTTAGCCCACCCTCTGTTTCTAACATAGCACATAAGTTCATGAAAGCTCTTGGACTTATCCTTGTAATATTCTCACTATCTTAATTATTTTTGAACTCATACTATATGTAACCTATTTTTTAGAGGGCGTCTTAATGCAACAATAAAAGGTAATTATGCAGATTAAGTGGGCCACAACTCTTGGAAGAAAATCGCACTACCTTTCTTCAAAGTTATACATACTTATGCAACCACATAGAAATAAAGTTAGCTTTAAAGAAGGTGTTATTTTTATACACATACTAGAACAACATATATCAATCAAATATTTGTTCTACGGGTTCTAGAAATATATCTAACAAATTTTTGTTCCAAATTTTTTTGCAAAGAAACAATAAAAATGCATGGTGCTCATACATATGAAAGTAGAACCATTGTTCATATTCATTTATGGATATAATATTAAAAGAATGAAGATTACTGATGGAAACTGTGTAGCAAAAAATATTTAGTGAAAACAAATGATGGAGAAACTCTAAATTTTGGTCAGATGAACTAGACATGAATTGAAAAAAAAAAAAAAAAAAACTTACAAGCTAAGGATTCAAATCAAACCTAAATCTTGAAGTTTTAAGTTTGTTGTAATTCTGCCCATAAACTAGTACCAATTTCACGTATCCATCTATGTTACCCGGACTCTTCTATTTAGGAAGAATACCCGTGTCATGTTGTGTCGATACTGGTGTTGGTATGAGTGTCGGGTGTGGCATTTTAGCCTAAAATGTTCAAGATTTCTAAACTATTGACGAGTCGGACGCTCGTATCTCCACACCCGATACGCCACCCATATCCGAGTCCTCGTAGCATAGGTATACATTGCCCTTCACCTTTGCAACATGAGGTACCAAGTGAAAAGTACAATCTACCAAATTATGCCACTTGAAAAAAAGACGTGTTTATATTTCAGTATCACTACCAGAAGAACAAAAGCAAACAGAAAAGACAGGAGAAAATTGCAAACTTATTTGGATTTTATTGGGATGTTTTTCTGCTCAAATATAAAAAACATTCTAAGGGAGTTGATTTGATAGACTCAAACGTGCCATTCTTTTCTAGGATCATAGTAATTAGTATTTACACATCTCACAATTATACCAACGTGAATGGATAAAAGAAGAGAAACAAAAGTGAAAGATTATTATGTAAGCAAAGAAACAAAAAACTGCAAACTTATTTGCTGCGATTTTATTGGAATGTTTTTCTGCTCAAATATGAAAACATTCTACGGGAGTTGATTTGATAGACGATGTGCCATCATTTTATAGGATCATAACAATTAATATTTACACATCTCTCAGCTATACCAACATGAATGGATAAAAGAAGAGAAACAAAAGTGAAAGATTATTACGTAAGTAAAGAAACAGAAGAATATCATCTTAGTTTTACCCCCAAGTTAGCTGGTATAAATCCAATGAAAATACGTAATGAATTAGAGAAAGCTGAGCATAGGACACCAAAGAAACAACTTATATATGTCACAAGGTTTGAGTAGAACCATTGCTCATATTCATTTGTGGAAATTAGCAAGGTACCATAAAGCAAATCCGTGCAGCAACATATGAAGTTCGATTTTTCCCGAAATATTTGCTAACAACACGAAGTTCAATTTTTCCCCAAATACTGTTAAAAATTAGTTTCTTATGCCCGCCACATATATGACATTCAAGTCATCAGTACAAGTATGCCCAACAGAAGCAAAACTACAAATTAACATCAACCAACAACCCCAAGCAGTCGAGCCTCTTCCTCTGTGTTCTGAAGAGTGAAAAATGATTGTTAGTTTTATTTATATGAAGTAATTGCGTAATTCAAATGAGTTGAGAAGAGCATATTAGTACAATCAAGTATAAATTTTTCCTTTCCCGCCAAATTCCTTGCAAAAAAAAAAAAAAAATTGAACTAAGCAAGGAAAAATTGAAAAACTGTCTCCTCTTCCGTCCCCTCCTTTTTCCCCAACCAAATACTATGTTACATTATAAATCTAAAATAAAAATAAATTTCATAAACCTATTTTTTATAGACGCCATGTATTTCTTTTATTATATTAGTCATTTAAATATTAATTTTAAATATATTAAAAAAAGAAGTGAACGGTGTCCCACTAGGTGCAAGAGAACGATAAGATTTAAAAAATAAGTAGATGTTGGTCACGAGATTTATGAGAGGTTTGTGTATTTTTATTTTCAAACTTTTCTATTATAATGATAAATTTCAAGGTTTGCGTTTTCAAACATTATTCTAAATTTACTATTAAAGATATTCTATTAGTAAGATTAGATTTTGTAGATGAAAGAAATATAAATAATTTTAATTATTAGATGAAAGATATATTTTTGGCATAAGTTCAAAATTAAATATATTAAAGATATGTTCATACAAGCACAAGAAATCTATAAAAGGGAAGTTCTTTTATTACTTATATATGTATATATATTTCCGGCCCAAATTTATTATTTATTAGAATTGCATAATCTTAGTATGTTTATATTTGTAGGATTCTTCTATGATCAATCAAATGGAAAGAGAGATGCGCTGGATTGAGAAGATCAAAGAAATATCCACTTCCATGTTACTACTCTATTTTGTGAAGAAGATCAAAGGAGATTTCAGAAGAAGGAAAGAACTTGCTGAGGAAGTTGACACCTAAGGATACTATATAAACCCTGCTTGAAGATCAATTGTAGGTTGTTGAATCTCTTGTCATTCACATTGATCAAGCTTCAATTGAGAGTTCAAGCTTTTTGCTATTCTTTTGTTTTTGTTCACAGTTTAGTAATCTGATGTTCTTACAACGCCTGACCACTGAAGCTGTCTTTTGAGTTTTTTTTGGTTCTTTTGTTTCGAACACTTTTGTTTTCAGAACTTTGTTATTCTCAAGGAACCGAGAGTGTTTTAAGTCCACGGGACGTGGTCAGAGAAGTAGTTGATAGTTCGAGTATAGTTGTGGCTAGGCTAGAAGGGAGTTTTAGTTGTTCTAAGACCAAACTATACATGTGTGCACGATCGATCGATTTATCAATGAAAGAGCTATGACGGGTAGTGGATTCTCTCCGAAGAGTTTTTATACTTTGTGCGCTTCTACTATTTTTTAACTTTTCTAGTGCTGTAACGTGATTATTTACAATCTGTGTTCTAACACGAGTTGAGCGTCTTTTAGAGTTAAAAAAAGTGTACTTTTCATTAGAGAATTGAGTTGAACTGAAAATAGAGAAATGCTCACCTAGCCACGGTGGACACATGTTACTATGCACACCGTATAGGTGACATCCACTCATTGGTGATGTATTTTTTAAACATATTAACATCACCAATAAGTGTGCCACGTACACGGTGGACATATTAACATGTGCCCATTGTGAGCAGGAGCATTTCTAACGGAGAATAACATAATCTAATTATTAGAGACCTTGTGTAGTACGAGAATTCGGTCAATTGCATTGTGGAATGTATACCGGTGAAAGCGAAAAGTAAAAGGACACGTCATCCGAGCAAGACAAATACACAGAGACACAGTTTGTGTATATATCCACACGCGAGTACGCGACACGCTCAAAATCCTCGTTCATCACTTTCCTCTCTCTCTCTCTCTTTCTCTCTCTCTCTCTCTGCATGGCAACTTGGAAATCGGAATTCCAAGATTAGGGCAATTGAAGAAGAATTCTGAATACAGCGCGCTGAAGATGTGATTTTTGGGCATCTTAGGGTTATTTCGGCCGGATTTTTAAGTTAGTTGAAGAGTGATTTTAATTTCTGGTTATCTTCTAGAATTGGTGTTAGGGTTTTCGTTTCACATGAAGGGCCTGTTGGATCGCACGAAGGTGGTGCTGAGGCACCTGCCCCCCACGATTTCTCAGTCGAACCTCGTCGAGCATATTGATTCCAGATTCTCCGGCCGCTACGGTTGGCTCGCCTTCCGCCCTGGAAAATCGAGGTGAGGTTCTAGCATATGAAATTCCGTCTTTTCTTCTTTTTAATTTGAGATTTACTTATGTGTCCAGATATGATGCGTTCTTGTTATTAGAATGGATTGAAAGTAGTTATCGAATTATTAGGTTCTGATATCGATAACGTAACAAGCACATAGGATAGTTTTTACAGAGGGACCAGATGCTTGAAGTAATATTTAGTGCTGTCATTGTTTTGGTTTTCATAATGTTTTACCATTCACCTAGGTAGAGAATGCTGCTAAGTATGAGGGGTTAATTTTTATGTCTTTGCCGGGTTTTTTTTATATACCATTATTACCATACTGGATTCACTCGGGTCATTGACAATTAAAAAGGTATCTCGTTTTTGCTATTGGCAATTGTGATATGGTGAGGCATTTTGGTTTCTGTTGTGTCTGTCTTTACACCTGGCCGCAATTTGAGTTTTCCAGATTCTTCTGTACTCAAGTTAATAGAAACATCATTTCTTTATCCCCAAACCACTATTTGGTTGTAACTTCTTGGTAGGCATGTAATAAGTGAGCGAATAAGTGAGCAATTGACAGTTGCTGGAAGCGGATGTGAGTCGTCTATGCCATGGGCCAAGGGATGGTGCTTGGCAGCCAAACTTATGCCTGCTGTGATCTATTATTATGTTTGGGCTGTTGGCTGTTATTGTTTACTCTGGAGGAGATGCGCATATAGATTAATCGTTGCTTAAATGTTATTTAACTAGTGTTGGCCCATATTTTGTGATGGAAATATTGGGAATTTCTTTGTCATCATTTCATGTTTATGTTTATGAATTACTTACCCATTATCTTTTTATCATATGATAGAACTTTTTTTTTGTCTTATGGGTGTGATTAATTTAATCATTGGTTCTGCACCATTCTTACCTTCTAATTGTTTTTGGGGGGAGGGAGGGTTAAGAAATATCTTTAAAAAATATTGTATTGTTCTCTCTGATTCTCCACGTCTTCATGGAGACAGGTTTCTGCCGAATTGTTTCTGTTTGCTGTTAGATTATGTGCTTTGTTGAGGTATCTTGTGAATTCTCTCATTTGTTGTGGTCTGAAGTTTTACATATTCCTTTACATATCAAAAATAGATTGTATTGTTCTCTCTGACTCTCCACGTCTTCATGGAGAAAGATTTCTGCCGAATTGTTTCTGTTAGCTGTTAGATTATGTGCTTTGTTAAGGTATCTTGTGAATTCTCTCATTTGTTGTGGTCTGAAGTTTTACATATTCCTTTGCAGCACAAAGCATTTAACTCACTCTCGAGCTTATATCAACTTCATAAGACCAGAGGATGTCATCGAATTTGCAGAGTTTTTTAATGGCCATGTTTTTGTCAATGAGAAAGGTAACCTTGATGAGCTTTTTTGAATGGTGTATTGACTATATTTTCCAGTTTGAAGATAATGTTATACATATTTGGCTTTTTATAAATTTAGCTCATGTCATTAGCTTTGAAATTTGATATAATGATACTTCTTTGCTTGATTAATTTACTCAATTTATCTGTAACTTCCCCTCACATATTAACTGTTTTGCCAAAATCTTTTTTGACTCTGTTGTGGTACTTCATACTTCCAGGGTCTCAATTTAAAGCTATTGTTGAGTATGCTCCTTCCCAGCGTACTCCAAAACAATGGTCTAAGAAAGATGGCCGTGAAGGGACTGTATTGAAAGGTGATCTTCTGTGTGCCTGTCATACCTGGCATAGATTCATCATATATTTACTCCATCACCCAGTTTTTTTGTTAAACGTGTAGATCATGAATATTTGGAGTTCCTTGAATTTCTTGGGAAGCCAGTTGAGAATCTTCCCAGTGCAGAGATACAGCTGGAGAAAAAGGAAGCAGAACGAGCAGGTTGGTCCTGAATATTTTCAATCCCATGCTTCCTTGAAACCTATATGACTGTTGATTATTGCGACTTGTGGAATCAAATTATTGTATAAAAATAACCTCTTTAGTCATTCATATTGAACAATGAATATTCTTTTCTTTGTTTTCTTATAGGCGCCCCCAAGAATGTCCCAATAGTTACACCATTAATGGAATATGTTCGTCAGAAAAGAGTTGCAAAGTTTGGGGCTCGGGTAGGATTATATCACTTATTTACTAAAACTGACATCTCATTTCCTGTCATCATATATGAGCAGCTGAATTGTTAATTGAAATGTCGATAATTTGTTTTGAACTTGAGATATTTCCTTGTGAGGATTTTATGAATCATCAAACTGTTGCCTGCTTGACAACCTTTCATAGAGAACCGTGTTGAATGGCAAGTCTTCAAGAAAAGTCGGTGGAATTTCATCCAAGAGTCCTGTCTCAGGTTCATTAAAACGAGGCTCTGAAAAAAAGACTTCTACCATGGTAAGTTGATGCTCTTCATCTGTTTATTTTATTATTTATTAATTTTTTTTAATAATGGTGGGTCTACTGCCAGTATGTCGTAGTGTTTATATATTTATCACCCAATATCTATTCGGTGGATTGGAAGTAAAGGCATCTAATCTTACACCCGCTGATTTTTTTTTTCCTGCCCTTATATTTGCTTATGCAGAAATAGAACGTGACTAAGATTTAGTTTCTAATGGAAATACTTTACCAAACGTGCTGTTATGCCCACATTTATTTGCTATAGGAATACTTGAATCAGACGGTAACATAGAATGTTAGATGTCTAGCCGTAGAAACATATAGAAAAGCTCAATTGGTGTATAATGATGCCTTTTTTCTTCAAAGATAGAAATAGTGGTGTTTGTAAAGGCATGAAATATCTTTATTTTTCATCTCTCTTCCTAATTAGTTATACGTATACCTGGCTGTTGAATACTTGCATGTATTCGCTTCGCTATATAAAGCTGTCTATTTTTCAAATATTATGTTGTGGGCCTTCAAATTATTGATGAGCTTGACTGGAAATTGTTAAATCACTTTATATTTTTCTAAATTAGCATATTATTTCTCACAAAACTTCTCCTTTCAATGTTTCAAGTTTGTTATGTATGTGTTTTTATACACTGGGATGGCATCACAATACAAAGTGAGTTTAGTTTTGCCGAAGTGGATGGTTACAGCAAGTTAATTTGTCGCTCAACAGTATGTCTTAAAGGACAGCTCAAAGGGTGTCGGAGGGAAGGACAAACAAACTTTCCTGGTAGTTTCTAAACACAACGATCAACTCGCTGACAAGTCCGACATTTCAGCTTCTGTCTCCAGAGATGCTGCACCGGAAAGGGATTCTGGTAATACTCACTAAAGCATTTCACTTGTTTTATTGGAGGGCATCATTTTATTTTTAAGATTTGTATTGGTCGTTCTTAATGGGTTTATTTTTTATTTTTTATTTTTTTTCAACTTTTATAGGCATTTGAATCTTTTTATTGTCAGTGAGAGCAAATAGTTTAGTGGTATTTTCATATTTATTTTTTCAATAAGATTTTGTGGATAAGATATATTGGATATTACTGTACTAATTTTGCATGTCAGGTGGTCTGCTAGTTGCGTGGTGATGTTCACAATAACACATCTTGTTAAAAGATTATAATTATGGGACTTTGGTGGTACCAATCAGATCTTTGTGCTGAAGTATAGTGAATTGGGGTTTTGACCATTCTGCTTTGATGAGTTCTTATAAACTTTAATATTTCTTTCTATACTTGATTTGTCTATTTAACTTTGCTTTAATGGAATATCGGTAGTAGTGTGTTCAGATGACAGATAGATTCCATCTGTAGAAAAGTCAAAGACACCAAGTAATGTATCAATGAAGCATGAATTTGATGCAAACTGAGAATCTGCTAAAATTAGATGGAAGGACCTGAAGTTTGTTTCCGCATTCTTCTCAGAGGTCAATGTGATGTTATATTTTCCTCTCAAGTGCCAAGCTGGTGACACACACACACGCACACACATCACACTTTTAAAAGCTATAATCCTTAACCCTTTAGATTTTTTACGATTGTGCTATTTTACCTAAGTTTCTGCTGGTTTTATATTTCTTAGCTGTCCGGTGATTCTGCAAATGCAAATTTACGTTTGTCCAGTGAGGACACAAACTTACTTTTATTTCCGTTACCATAGTCTTTGGGCTATGAATTCTTGTGTGGTTGTCATGTGTCTCGCCATCAGCCATCGGTTTCGTGATTCTGTTTGACCTATTGTAGGAGGGTCAGGAACCACTGGAATTGTGAAGAAAAAAATTCTGCTTCTCAAAGCGAAGGAAACTTTTAATGTAAGTCAGTTTATTTTCTACAATTTGAAGTGAGTGGAGAATAGAATGAGTGAGAAGAGAGACATCAGTGAATTAGACAATTTTCAGCGAATAGTACGCTTATTTGCTTATTTAATTTCTTTGCGTAGTGTGTTGGTACGAGTCTTATGGTGGTATTAGTATGTTTCATCTGAGGCTATAGGAATGGTTACTTAGTTGTGATGCCACATCGCTATGCTTCCTTGCACTTGTGGTAGACAGAGGAGCTCATAAGCTCTTCAAAACGTCTTATATTTTAGTGGAATTGCACTTGGATGTCTGCTTAAGCTTGGCCTGGCCAGCCACTTCAAATGTCTCCTCTTTCTTTAGTAAGTGGGTGCTTGGGACTTGGGAGAGCTTATAAGCCCATCCAATATGTGGTATATTTTAAAAATAAAAATAAAATGCTTATAAGTTTCAAAAGCTCTTCTAGAGCTATATGTTCAGTAAAAGAGTATGTGCCCCCTACTTCTTGAGCATCTTAGAATTTCCTTTAATTTTATCATTTAAGACATGATAAGCCAAAATACCTTTTTATTAGCACTCACTCTTAACAACATATTTTAAGATGAGAAACAACAATTTATCAGCTCTAATAATATTCTAGAAGATATCGAAGCTTTTAAGATTTTTAAGAAGTTCAGCCAAACACCCTCCTGAGATGGTATTGGTATTGTACTGTTAAGATGACTTCCCAGTTTGGCTGGTGTATGAGAAAAGCAGAAAAACTAATGAAGTCTTATTTTCTTTTCGTTCTTCGCAGGATGCATTGATTTCATCCGATAATTCACATAGTTCAGCAACTTTCAGAAACAATCAGCAACGTGACACAAAAGGAAGGATTATCAGGAGTATCCTCCTTAACAAAGATCCTCATAAGAATCAACCATCACTAGGGTCTCAATGTGAACTGAGAACTCCGGGTTTGAATCAAGACAGGGACAAAAAACTTCCCCGGCCCCCAATCAGTCAGTTTCTTCACAACGAAACAATTGGGGTACCCGAAGATAAGGCAGCTATTAATGATTCACGTGCTGTACGTACTGAGAAGAAGGAAAGGCGAACGAAAAATAGGGATAGGCCTGACCGTGGTGTATGGACTCCTATCCGGCGTTCAGAGGGATCACATGCAAGTGATGACTCGTTATCTTCTTCTGCTTCCCAAACCTCCCAAGTTGTGGATTCTGCAGAAGGTCCGCACCCTTGATAAGAAGTTAATCTTCATAGATATGTTTTGCTTGTTTTGCTGAATAATAGCTTCAGAGTCTTCAGAGATTACAACAACTCTTTTGCGGATTATTCTTAATTTTGTGCTATGCTGTCATTTTTTTATTTTATTTTTGATCAATCGTATGGTTGTCCTGGGGGTTCATGTAGATGCGAAAAATGAGATACCGGTTACTCGTGGTGGAAATTATAAACACAGTGGCAGTGGTCGCAACAGTCATTACTCTGTTGAAAATGGTAAAAAGTTTTGACAGTTGGTTCGTTTGAGTTTGTCTTTCTGATTTGATTTATTCATATTAAAAGCATCTTTTCAGTCGTGTCCTTTTTGATGATTTACTCTAAAACATTTTCTGAGAACCTGTAGGTTATCGAAATGGGGGGTGCCGTGGTTCCGCTTACAATGTGAAGGATGCCAATGGCTCTTCAGTTGTGGAGAGGAAACCTTTGAAACATGGAGCTTCATCTGGTTATGGCGCCCATGAGGTAATCAGACTCAAATTGAAATCTATATTCCAACTGACAATCTTTATTCTCTTCATTTCATTTTCTGCTGTTTACATTTGCAGAAACAAGTGTGGGTCCAAAAGTCCAGTTCGGGCTCATAGTTTTGGTGTATATGGTAAGATAACTGTATGTAACCCCAAGAAAAGTGTTAAAATACATTCTTGCAAATTTTCTTTTCTTTTAACCTTTTTTTTTTTTTTTTTTTTTTTTTTTTTTTTTTTTTTTTTTTTTGGTTTGGCAGTGTAATGATTTGGTCAATTATCATATTGAAACACAAATACGATGGTGGCTGGAGGTTTTCTCTCTTGCTCGATAGAATCTATCCTGCACGAGAAGTCAGTGATGTGAAACACGAAATGCTTTTGCTTTTGGGAAACTGCTAAGAAGTGCATTGGTTTTCCTCAACGATACTTTATACTGTTGGGAGTGTTTTACCCTTGAGTGGAAATAACATCGGTCAGTAGAAGGTCATAAATAAGGTACGTACGTTGAAGTTCCGAGAAAACGAAAGAGTAAATGTAGTCGAAGGATATTTTAACACCACCATTCGTCTGTTGTCCCAATGATGGATGGGGTGGATTTTATCGAGTCGAAGGCGTAAGAGAATCTCTGGTTTTCGGCCATATATTACCCGGTAAGTTAACAACTATATATCTTAGACAGCTATGACTTCATTTTGGTGAACTGTATATACAAATCTTTGATGGTGATTGGTGTATTTATACTGCCACTGTTAATTCACCATACATATTTTTAAGGTCGCTGCCTACTTTGATTTGTTGTTAATTTTGATTGCTATTTTTGTTCAACTTAAGAATAAAATAAGTAGCAAATTATTTATATATATATGAATAAAAATAAATTATTATTTTATTCATGAAATTGGAGAATCATGCGTAGATATATTCAGGTGAGTAATGATGAAAAAGTGGCAAAACAAATAATTAATTCAGATAATAAAAATGGAGACAAGCGAGCGCTAATGTCTAACGATGTTCTTGGAGAGGTGTGTATCTATGAGACAAATCGAATCTGACTTAGCTTTTTTTCAATAAATAATCAAACTTGAGTTAATATGATATTATTTAATAAAAATTCAACCGATCCCGAATTCAAAATTTAGTGAGATATTTTCTTTATGGTCCGACAGTTTGTTTTTAAATGATTTATCTAAATAACATTGCTTGTATAATATATATATTAGTTTAAATTGTGATGATTCAGTGGACATGAATATATACTACATCTATTCTCTTTACTTCACCTGTCCAAGATAAAGCCTCAACAACTGGCACCAAAAGTCCTACTAATGTATCTATCAGAATTGACCGTTCGTAAAAGTGCATTTTGGGAATAAGAAATTGACTATGCATATATATGATTGTGGTACACAAAAGACCTCCGCCCGACTTGGATTCGGATTGGTTTGAGCTCCTAGCCGGTTGGATGTCCTTGAGACATGCAAACACTCTCACACCGGAGGAATTTTCTACTCAAGTGCCTCAAATGCTTAATTTAGCACTTGTAAAAGATGAAATGTAGTATATATGTAGAGAATAGAGTATGTAATGTAACAATGAACATACCTCACTCCCTTATATAGGGAGATAATACCTTGTTATCCAAGACTATACGAGTGGTTTGCCCGTTCGTACTGCCCGAACTGTTCAGTTCTGTTAGGCCACGTGATCCTATCCACGCGTGTTTCTTATGCTATTAATATTTTATCTTACCCGTTAGTTTATTATATCGTCAATGGTGCTACCAGCTCAAATTCCGTCGAGGTAGAACGCTGTGCACACCGAGCTTAAGTGGTTCTCTGGTCGATCACACGACCAACAATACCTTCAAATCGAGTTTCTAACAGGCCATCCGAGGGCCATAGCTCGACCTATCATTGTTTCATTGAACCTCTCACATCCTCTTCGACCTGAAGACTCCTCATCGGCACTCGACCTTCCAGCTGCTCTGCTTCGACCAACTAGTTCACTCGCCCGGTCAACCAGTTTATTGAGTTTGTTATATATGGTGTGTGTATCCCATATCAGATTGAGTTAATTTATTTACTTTCTTTCAAGTTATTCATGCCTCATATAAAAGTATGTAAGCTATTATGAACAAAATAAGTCTAACAAGTCTTGCACGTTCGTTACGAAGCAGGTCTAAATATGTTGTCCGAACGAGCAAGATTGTCATAGTTTTTATAAAAAGAATAAGCTAATAAGAATACGAGAAAAAAATACATCGATACATAACAACATAAGCTATTATGATTGTATACATACTATATAGAATTGAACCTATTTATTTATTTTTATTTAATTTGGTCGTGCCTCTATGAACGTATGTATACACTAAACACCCCCCTATATAGCTATATATAGGTGACGAATGCGTTGTGCCTAAGTGATAATTTCGCATGCTTTCGAATCCTTTATGTCAAAACACCATGCTTCGTTGCTATTTGGATATAAATTTGTATTTTTTATAAAATAATATTTAGGTTGAGATTACATTAATATCTATATTATTCTATTACATGTGATTGCTCTATTCCTTCTTTTCTTATACAATTGGTTACCATAAAGTGTTTTACGTTTCATTTTCCTACAATATCATATATTACCTTTTCTTTTATTATTTAATTCATACACCAATTATTATAAATATGTCTTCTTCTTATTTTAAAATTTTATAATTTTTTTCGTTTGTACCTTTTTACACATGACATGTCAAATCAATTATTTTTTAACAATTTTTTATTTGACATTCATATTACATATATAAAATACAATTCGATGATACATATCCTTATAAATAAATTTTAAATTGATTTATCGAACTTTATTAAAAAAATTAAAAAAAAAACTACAAATTATCTTATGAAGCAATAGAAATTGAATATAAGTATTTCCATGTTTCATTAATATTTTATATACACAAATTCTCTCCCCTCATCTATTATAAATTTAAATATCTTTATCTTTATATTATTTAATAGTTTAAAATAAAACGTGTATGGGTGTAATAAAATGAACACTCATACAAACTGACATACATTTTCTCAGTGCATGAAGTTGTTGATGATAGTCTCTGTGTACTTTCGCTTTCTTGTTCTATTGTAGGTGTCGGTTTTGCTATGAAGCCAACAGTTTGCTCCATAGTGAAGTCAACCTTCTATATATAGCAAGAAAATCATACAATATTCTCTGATTACTTAAATAACACTAATAATTTTATCAATATAGTATGGTTTACTTGCTATATATAGAAGGTTGACTCCACTATGGAGCCAACTGTTAGTTTCATAGCAAAGTCAGTGTAGGTGTATAAGAGAGTTGGAAGCATGATGCATAATGGATACTGTGAGCGTGACATCATTGACATAATTGATGTTAGTGCTTTGATTTGATATTGTGAACTTCTTAAATGTGTTGGAGCGAAAATCAGTGGCCAGGATCCGGAGAGCAGAATGATTGTTTCTGTCACGTTGCACGCAAAAAAGAAATAGCGACGATGGAGCTTTGTCCGGCGGAGCGAACCATTTTGGGATGGCTCTCCCGAATATTAGGCACATGCTTTTCAAATTCATGATTCATTGTCGACATGATGGACATTTGTTATACGTCCCCCTTCCATCTGCTAAATTTTCGTTATCAAGTATGAACAACTCCAGCAACAACGGGTAATATGTAAATAAGAAGTAGTAAACTAACCATATTAAATTCGTGCTCTCTGATTGCATCCATTTAATTGTTATAGTTCTTAGACATGATAACAGAAATTTCGACCCTCAATTATTGGAAGCCGGGACTGTTGGCTGTCTTTTCTGATGTTCAAACTTAACCAGGAAAATGGTCGTTAACTTAAATAATCATATGATATTTGAACGTACGTTCTTTTGTTTTTCTAAAAAAAGTTCATTTTATTTATTTATTTATTTTTAAAAAAAAAACTCGAAACCGCAAGAACCAGTCCGAAATCGGACATGAACTGCGATTCGGGTTGTACATATAATTGGCCCGTACATATATCCAGGCCGGTTCTGGGCCCGTGTGTCGTGGCCCGATGACTCGACGACCCGGCCCGTCGTTTGGACACGTCTACTGTAGTAATATATTGTTTTCCATTAGTATCATCAAATTAATGAAAAATTACATCAACTAATTCAAAAATAAACTTAAAATATTGATTAATATTGGGAAAAAAGGTAGAAACATTTCCCTGCAATCCGGATTGGTGGGTTGCACCAAATTAACCTACACCAGTAACATAAGAACATGAGGAGAATACTACAATCCCGTTACGGGATAATTTCGTGATACATTTTAGCTGTAGATATACACATAATTTAATAATGTGTAGATAACCTAACACTTACAAAATATAACGGAACCATCCGGACAACATTCTTCCCCCAACCGATAGAATTAGATACATAATTTGCATACACACACAAACAAGTTCAAACTTGCCTTATACTTATCAGTTGGAGTGGATCGGACTCACACTCACAGTCGCACTCAGTCCAAAATCACACACAGTGACACACACATACACACACACTGTATATGTCTATTTAGTCTGTACGCATATACATACACTTTTGCCTCAACCTGTAGATACAATAATCACAGAAAGTGAAAGCTGATGATGATGAAAAAGTAGAGAATAAAGAAAAGGAAGAAAAAAAAAAGGCAAGTGTGTGTTTCACGCTCTGTGTTTTCTGATCCGTCTTTTTACATTAAAATTGCTTGCTTTATGGTCCATGCGCTGTTAGATTATGTTATTTTTTTTTCTGTTCAAAGGCTCTACGGATTGTTGAAATTGTTAAGGAATTGAAGGAGGAGGTGAAATGCTTTTGATCTGCATCGGATTTGAGGAGAATTTGCGTCCCTGTTAGTTCGTGTTTTATGCTTCTTTTTTTTCTTAAAAAAACAAAAATTGTAATCGCTCTTTTTTTGGTGATTAATTTGTTTTGAAGTTCGAGGTTGTACTGTTTTAAGGTTTGGATATTTCTTTGTTTGTTTGTGGATGCTTGATTTTGATGAATTCAAATGAATGCAGATCTGATTAAATTGGTGAATTTAGTTGGCTATTAGTTAGGTACTTAGTTATGAACTGTCTGATTATATGTTTTGGAGCATTTGTTACGAGTTGGGGAACTCTTTGGATGAAGAAAGAATACTAGGAAATTCTGGCATCATTCTTCTTTTTAGTAATAGTAATCAATATGAATCAATATGGTATATTTGCCTGATGGGTTTCAATGAAAGAGAACTTCTTTTGCATCTCCTGCATATCCAGTCATTGGTTTTGGTCTTAAGTATAGAGTTTGTAATATGGTCAATACCGAAACGTTTGGAGGGGAAAGGAGACGAACCAAAATATGTAGCGAGTCATCAAGCTTGAGTGATTTCTTTATCGAGTTCCAAAAGTAGTAGATCGTGAAGCTTAGATGTATTTTGTCATGGGAACAAGTATTTTAAATTTCTCCCTTTTCACTACTTATGTAGTGCAGCTTAAACCAAGCTGCCTACTTGACAAGCTCTAATTAAATTTTCAAACTTGGGTTTATTTGCTGTGTCAGAGTTGCTGCATGATAATAATCAATGTGCTAGGTGTTTTCTGCAGTACTGGGTTAGATTATTATCCTGTTGGCAGCAAAAATGGTTGTGAAAAAGAAGCATATTACTTGGGTTATGCAGTGCAGTTGACATTGAGTTGTACATGGCAATTGTAGACATGAACTCTCCATTATTTGGCTGTTAATGGCTCCACGTTAAACTAGAATCATGTAAGATGATTTATATTCTAATGTGAGTAATGCATTCAAGACATCTAATATGAAAAATGGTAGGTTATATAAGAGAAATGATGTGACATAATCTTGATACGTGTGCAATATTAAGCATACAAATGTGTTAGTTAAGCTAATAAAGTAACCATGATATATGAATTCCGTGTCATGTTACTGTGACTTTTCCCCACTCTTTCCTTTCAAAACACGCCTTGATGCATATACTTGGATGGCATATTCAAGGACTGCAGCGAGGAGTGAGGCTAAATTGGATTTTTGATGAAAATGCCATACTTGCTTTATACAGTACAGCATTGGAAGATTTTTTTTACTGGAATCTTTTGGTCTTTTTTTTCTCCATTAAATGCTGCTTTGAGCTCATTGCATCTGTTCCGGTTCATGGAGGAACTTATTGTTCATGTAATTTTAGATTCTTCATATTATTGGTTCATTCCTTTATGATGTATCTACTTTGTACCATGTTAAATTTCAAATGTTAAATTGTTCTGCTTTTCCACCTCCTAGTACTGTCTTTGTTGGTATTTCATGTGCTTAAACTTGGTAATGTATGAAGGAAATACAAAATTTCCTCAAAGTATGACTGCCCTTTTTCTTGGAGAGAGAGATGATTTCAATGTCATTTCTTATTCGGATGAAATGGGATCTTTAGGAGAACAGGCCTAATAATTTGCTGCATGTATTTAGGTAAAGATTTGTTTTATGGAGATGGAATGTCACATCCTTAAATATTGTGGAGGATACTAGCACGGTCTTATCATGGCATCTGGTGGTCTAGGACATGGAGGAGCTGGGAGTTCAAGATCAGGTAATGGTTACAAGATCTCATCCAGTTCAGTTGACTGGCTGGGAAGGGAGATGCTTGAAATGAGATTAAGAGACCGAGTAGAGAGTGATTCCGACAGAGTAAGTTGGAGCATTTTCAATATGCATGCATTGATTTCTCTACACTGTTTTGCGACTTCTGCATTCTTAAGTGGTTGACACACAAATTATATTATATGCTATACTGATTTGTTATATTTGTAGTCTGCTGATAGTAATTACTTGTTTTTATGTCTGATTCGTTACAGCAGTTACGATAGAGGTTTATTTGGTGTGCAGGATAGTGAACCTGATATAATTGATGGTGTGGGTGCTGAAACAGGGCATGTTATACGGACCACGATTGGTGGTCGAAATGGTCAGACTAAGCAGGTTGGTCGAGATCACTTTTACATGGAAAACTTCACCTGGTGAGGATGATTTTTGGTAATTTTGTTCTCTATTTGGGTTGCCAGGTTGTGAGTTACATAGCCGAACATGTTGTCGGAACTGGCTCATTTGGAGTAGTATTTCAAGTAAGCTGGAGAAATTTTGGTTTTAAATATGCAACGTGCATGCAGATTCCCCCCCTTACGGCTTCTTTTCTTTTTATTCAAATTGTTTTTTAACAGGCTAAATGCAGAGAGACTGGAGAAATAGTTGCTATCAAGAAGGTTCTCCAGGACAAACGTTACAAGAATAGAGAGTTGCAGATAGTGCAAATGTTGGACCATCCGAATATTGTGGCACTAAGGCATTCCTTCTTCTCAAAAACTGAAAAAGAAGAGCTTTACCTCAACCTCGTTCTGGAATACGTTCCTGAAACTGTTAATCGCATGGCACGACAATACAGCAGGATGAATCAGCGAATGCTATTGATATATGTTAAACTTTATACATATCAGGTAAAATTCTATCTGATAAAAGAAAAAAGTGTAATTAACTTACTCGTCATTTTTGCCAAACGCATCGATATCTTATCTTGAAGGTCTGGGTTCCTTAGGTCTTTCAGTATCATTATCTGTTCTTCAAATTATCATTGAATATTTTTTTCCTTGTTATGGAAAAATCAAAATTTTCAAATCTGTCCTTGGTTTGCAGATCTGCCGAGCACTTGCTTACATACATAATTGTATTGGAATTTGCCACCGTGACATCAAACCTCAGAATTTACTTGTAAGTATTTCTATGTTGAAATGCTTAGAATTCAAATTCCGAATTCCTTGTGGGTCAATCGAATCTATTGCATATTAAGTTGGTGCTTTTATGATGGCTCTGGTGCACTAACTGGTAGTTTAACATAATTTGGTATCTTTTTGACAGAAACCTTAAATGAGACAAAATAACTGTTCATGGAATAGTTCAGTAAATGTAACCTGTAACCGTCATTTCTGCTGCATTTGTGCACATCAAAGCAGGAAACAATCATCTAATTAACATAATTAGAGGTCTTGAGAATATAAACAGGCATGCGTAAATTGAATAATACTTTGAGAAAACCCATTGAAACTATAATCCATAACCTCCTCATTCTGAAATTTTCCATATATTGGGAGTCCTTACATGAAGAAATGCATCATAAATCACACCACTAGGTAATAAGATAAACCACTAGATAATAGACCTAAACTTTCAGGTGATATGATCCCATTTGGAGATATGGGTATCAATATTTTCCCATTCATTCGGTTTTTGTTCCCCACTTTCGCTCGTTCCATAGTATCTTACGCAAAGTTGGCAGTGAATTTAATTGGAATTTGTAATGGTAGCTGTAAGTGGTGGAATAACATTGTACGAGTAATCAAAAGTACAGTGAACTTGCATTTACTTGTCGATGTAGAAGCAATCATAGCTTCTAAAATGAAGATATAAATTACTATGTTCAGTGTCGGCACTTTCGGGTTTGTAATGAACATTTTTTGTGTAGATTGATGTGCCTTGTGTGCATCAAAGATGATATGTACTAATTCGGGAAGGAAAAAAATCGTTACAGTCTTGCTGAATACTTGGAATTAAGGAGATTCAACACCTAAGCTAATTTACTAGTTATACTTCTATGAAGCTGAAGCTGTATTGAATTTATTCCCAGGTCAATCCTCATACTCACCAGCTGAAACTGTGTGATTTTGGAAGTGCCAAAGTTTTGGTAAGTCTTCATTCAGACGAGGGTCATTAATGCCTAGATATTGTTTCCTCATGATGTTTGTTCATTCTTCAGGTTAAAGGGGAACCCAATGTATCTTACATTTGTTCTAGATACTACCGTGCTCCTGAACTCATTTTCGGTGCCACTGAGTATACAACCGCAATTGATATATGGTCAACTGGTTGCGTAATGGCTGAATTACTTCTTGGGCAGGTTGTCCCTTGATCCGAATGTCTCTAATTATTGGTCGATCATTTGTTTCTCTGACTTAATTTTCTTTCTTATTATGCAGCCCTTGTTTCCGGGGGAGAGTGGAGTTGATCAACTTGTTGAGATTATTAAGGTAGTGCAGTTGCACCACATTTTAGAAATTGATATTTAGCATCAAGTTCTTTTAGCATTTATTGTTTTATATTTGGTCAAAGTTTGAGTCTGCTATTTTGTACCTGCTAATGGAACTGATTGAGTTTATAGAGACGTACAATGACATTAGGTTTAAACAATTGCCTCATTGATATTTTCCTTTGAAAACACCAACAAACAAATAAAACAAACAATAATTGAGTTGAATACATGTTAGAAAGTTCAAGAATAACTTTTACAAAAATAGAGCTGAATTATGCCATTTCTTTTACTCGCAGCAGATTTAGTTACTCAATGCCAACCTTCTCAGTTTATTGCATGTTGTTTGAATTATCACAGGTTTTGGGTACACCTACCAGAGAGGAGATTAAATGCATGAACCCAAACTATACTGAGTTCAAATTTCCACAGATCAAGCCCCATCCTTGGCACAAGGTTTATTCCTCAGATTTGTCACTATTTTTGGATCTTTTTTTTTTTCTTTTTTTTTTTATTTTTTTTCCCCGTCTAAAGAAGCTTCAATCAATCAATCAATCAATCAATCAATCAATCAATCAATCAATCAATCAATCAATCAATCAATCGCACAGGTATTCCAGAAGCGTCTACCTCCTGAAGCTGTGGACTTGGTGTGCCGGTTTTTCCAGTACTCACCAAATTTGAGATGCACAGCTGTAAGTTCAACTTTCATCCTCAACCAAGTGAACTGCGATTTTCTCGAATATACATGTGAATTTTGTGTCATGAATTTTGAATTGCAGTTGGAAGCTTGTATTCATCCTTTCTTTGATGAACTGAGGGACCCCAATACCCGACTCCCTAATGGCCGCCCACTTCCTCCACTCTTTAATTTTAAACCTCAAGGTAATTTCTCTCAAGTACCAATTACACCATATTTTGTAAAAAAGTATAATAAGTCATTACAAATAACACCTCAAAACTTGTTTACCATTCTGTAAAACAATAAATACCAATGCAGTGAAATCTTGTTATCTTTTTTTTTTTTTTTTTTTTTT